GGCAAGATGCATAGTTACCTACTCTGTAACAACACTGAAACTGTTCACCCCCTTCCTTGAGAAGTTATGAAATACCTTCTACAATTCACCGTCTGATTGCGTGATATCTGGGAAGGCTTTTAATAATAATCAAAGGAAAGAATAAGAAATGATAAAGATAATTTTAGCACTCCAAAGCATATTACATCCATTTTACAAGAAGGTTTCTATTGAATAAGAAGGTGCTTATGAGTACAAATCAAAAGTCTTAACTTCTTGGATTCCCTTTATTATTCTAGTCCAAGGGTTATTATTCTCGGAATCATATGGTATTTGCATTTTGTCCAAAATACTTCCCCCTATATTTTCTTTTCAACATTATCCCAGTACCCTTGAAAAAAAAACCCAGTTAAATTGCTGTTTACAAATCTCTTGTGCTGACATTTAGAAAGAATGCAATAACAAAGCAGATTGGAGAATTTTCTTTCTCATAAATGCATGAACTGCATTCAAAGTCCCATCAGTCCATCCGGCTGGCTGAGGTTGATGGGAATCCAATCACATGTGGAGAATAGCAGGTTCTCCATCTCAGGAGCATCTGGAGGATCATCAATTCTCAACTCCAGCCACAAAGCAATATTAAATTTAATTATCAGCATTTGGAACTAGATTTTTCTCAGTAAGACCATGGGTAAGAGGAAGTCTTCATCTGGAGTTGTGGCTCCTTCAAGCTTATTTTTTTAATACTCTCCGGCAGAAATATGGGCTATGATTCAAATAATCTCTTTCCAATATAAGCAAAGTGATCCCTATTTGACACACTTGTTGACAGTGCCTAATTCCCATTATACACTGAAGTGTAATTATACTCTGTTAAATACATATTTAGAAAAGTGGTTTAATGGGGAAGAAAAAACTTCAAGAATCCATAAACTGGGCTTCCAAATTAAAACAAATAAAAAACATTCAAGTCTACATCTGGCACTTGCCTATAAATGAGCAGAAAGCACATACAAAATATATACCAGCACTGAAGTATAACTTGATCATAACCTTTACATCCTGTTTATAAAAATATACAATATTATACACATAAAATCATCTTATTTCCTTATTGTACTCAGCTGGTTCAGTTATAACTCATTTGATTGTGTGCCAGTCATACCAGCATGGTTATTTTACTGTATCAAAGAAAAACTCTGAGATGGAAAAAAAATAGCTGTACTTTGAATGAAAACCTGTAATGCATTTATCTTACTAAATCAAGATGTGGACATTAAGAAATGTGTACCTCCTTGCTGACAGAACAAGGAGAGTGGGCAGTCTCCATGGACAGCAAGTGAAGGGTGGCCAGGCCCTGCTCTGTTTTAGGCTACTGTAAGAAAGTGCTAATCCCATTTGTCTTCCTTCTAACCCAGGCATGGGCAAACATTTTAACTTGGAGGCCACATGGTGGGCCAGAGTGGGATGGTTGGGCCAAGCAGGGAAGGAGGGGGGAGGCCAGGGGGGTTGGTGCAGGGAGGGGGAGGGTTTCACACACGTCAACTTGCCTGGTCCATGGCTGTGCCCAGGAAGTTGTGCTCATCAGTAGTAGCCCTGGGCAGAGCCTCTTCCTTGCCTGCACTTTGGCCTCCACTGCCATAGGACTTGACTGCTCCTCACAAGCACACTCTCCTTCTTCTGTGCTTCTGCCTCCTCCACCACCACCACTTGGGCATGCAGCTGCTTAGGGCTTTCCTTCCCTTCCCACCTGCTCCTGTTATTCTTTTTTTCTGAGAAGGAACTTGCCCTTGAGGAAGGTGCCGCAGCAGAGAAAGAGGCAAAGGAGGTGGAAGAGGAGCCGCCCTCCTTGTTGACAGGGACGGAGGCCTAGAAGAAGAGGAATGTGCTGGCTCCATGTATGCCAGTGAGGACCAGCTAAGCCCCATGGAGGTGGTGGCTAAGGTGAAGGCTAGGGAGAGGCTCTGCCTGGGGCTGGTGCTGCAGCTGCGTGTGTCTTCCCTAGTCTCCTATCAGCATGAGGACATGGGCAGGCTGGCACATCCTTGTGCTTATAGGAAGGTGAAAAAGAAGAGGGCCTGAGAAAAGAGCCCAAAGGGCTGCATCCGGCCTCTGGGCCTAGGTTTGCCTATACCTGTTCTAACCTGTTTACGGTTCTTGTAGCTAGCAACCCTAAAATGGGATGAGCAATTGCATAGGGTCCTGGAGTCAATCTACTACTATAAACTTGAATGTCTGTTCTTCTCCTTGGACTTTCTAAAAATGATTATTAAGAATGAATGTTATGTTACTTCCTGTAATCATTTTCAGAGGGATTGTACAGGATAATGGAAGTATTTGGAACTGGTATAGGTGCCGTAGGCTATATTTCATTGGAAGGAACTGGAAAAACAATTTTTGAGTATTACTTTCCTAAGAAAGTCCTACATAATTCATAAAGTCATCAATCGGCAGGTGACCTGAAGGCACATACACACAAACATCTGCAGTGCTTGTTGAGTAGACCATTTAACGTGCCTTCTGAGTACTTTTGTGCCAAATGTTTTGTGAATATTTTTGTGGCAGTCTGGGTTTTGGAGGAGAGACTATTGGCGGGCTTAGGGGAACAAAACCGGGGTCCAGGGGCTTACAGCCCACAATTTCTGATATCCTGGATCACAACTCTTTTGCAGTATAGAACATCACTAAGGACCTCATCACACTGAGGTTGCAATCCGTAGGGCAGTGCAGGGGGATTCATCACATAGTGTGGTGAATCCATGGGGCAATGGGGAGAAACAATTGTCCCCTGCCCCAAATCACTTGCTGCACCTCTTACCTCATCCCAGGGGGGAAGCATAATCGCCCAGGTTCCCCCTCTTGTCTACAAATGAGGGAAGCATCCTATCATGCTGACAATACGCTTCCTCCATGGAGCCCTGCCAGAAGTTGACTGATGTTGTGTGATGGCGTCTGGCAGGCTCCAAGAAGGAAGAATCCTGGCAACATGCTAGGATGCTGATTTTTCTGTATGTGATGAATTGGTAGGGCACTGAGAAAGCTGTCTTATGGATTGTATTACAGTGTGTTATCTACACAGTCTTGCTACGTATTGTCACACAGACCTTTATATTAACCTTTACAAAACAACATTTCCCATTTTAAGGAGAAAAGCTTTTAAATGCTTGCCTGGGAGATGATTTCTGGTATGAATAAAGCATTATTGGACACTAGTGGGACCTGAAAGAAAATTTTGCTGTTCAGTCCATTCCCATCACCCTTTCCTCCACTTTTCATTTCCTCCTTCCCCCTACAACACTCAATCAGCATTCTTTGGAACTGAACAAACTTAAACCTCATTGGGTTGTGCTTCCCTTCCTCCAAGATCTTTGCCTCTTGAGATGTGTTAAACTTCTGCAAACCTTGAAGTTCCTAAATCAACCATCTTTTGCCAGGGTGGTGATAGTTTTGTCTGCATAAGCAATAGTACTCACAGCCGCAACACCAAAAAAAATATGGAACGAGAATACTCTGCTGAACCATGTTCATAAAGATGGTAACTGAGTAATTCAAGAAAATACTTCTGTTGAAATCAACAGTTTTTTGGGGGGTTTCTGAGATACAAAGAGATGCATCTCACTTCAAATATCTGCACAATTACATAGAATTTTAAAGAAGTAAATTACAAACCAAACTATTTGCACGTTTTTAAATGTGAAAAGCTAAATGTTTACGGAATTTAAAAAAGTAGTGACAAGAAAAATATGTACATTTCGTGAAATGCATAAACAAATGATCACATTAGGGAAAGTACAGTAAAATCACTCAAATCTTTCACAACCTGAAGGAAAACTAAGAAAAGGAGGAAATGTACACTGGATTTGGAGAAACAAAATTATTAGCCTGATATTTTTATATCCTTATATGAGAATGCAGGGAAAACCATGCAATAATTTAGCTTACAAATTGATTTTAAGAAAAAAATACCACCAATATGGCTGGGAATTAGCATTGTGAAGGTATTATCTAGACCAGGGGTCCTCAAACTAAGGCCCGAGGGCTGGATACAGCCCTCCAAGGTCATTTACCCGGCCCTCGCTCAGGGTGAACCTAAGTCTGAAATAACTTGAAAGCACACAACAACAGCAACAACAACAATCCTATCTCATCAGCCAAAAGCAGGCCCACACTTCCCATTGAAATACTAATAAGTTTATATTTGTTAAAATTGTTCTTCATTTTAATTATTGCACTGTTTTTAAGTGTTTTAGCACTACAAATAAGATATGTGCAATGTGCATAGGAATTCATTCATGTTTTTTTTCAAATTATAATCCGGCCCTCCAACAGTTTGATGGACTGTGACCTGGCCCTCTGTTTAAAAAGTTTGAAGACCTCTGATCTAGACTGGAACTTGACAAGCCTGCCATAGTGGTACATTTTGTTGTGAATGACATAGTGAATTCAAACTGATGCAAAGTCTCTAGCATATTGTCAGGGTCCTGTAATAGTATATTAAGTGAATATTTGAACCAGCTCTTATTCACTAGTTTACTTGAAGCAAAATAAACAAACACCATTGCAGTGCACAAAGCTACTTTAACCGTGAGTGAAAAACAGCATGACTTGATTAAAAACTCAACTATTGCAGGCTTTGTAGGTCATAAAATAAGCCTTTAGCGAATCGGCTTACCCTGTCAAATAGCTATACCACATTGATTACGGTTTAAATGTTCCCAGAAGAGCCAGGAACACTTTCAAGTTGGACTGTGCGGTATACAAAAATATCCCAACTTCAATAGGATTGAAATCTATTCCAGATTGTACCAAATTTATTGTCTATAATTTAAAAATAAAATGCTGTTTTAATCAAAGTTTGGAAAAGTTCTTTATGGACAACAGTCTTCTAAAATTTCTAGTAGCCATAGTGACTAGGGGATTGGAGTCCAAAAAAGAAACTCCCCCATGCTCTGGCTTTAATGCACTGCTTAGAACCTGACTCAAACTGTTGCAATTATAGCAAATTATGTTTGAAGACTTACGTTGGTTCTTCTGATACTATGGTTCCTTCTTCTAATTCCTGTGCTTGCTTGTACCATGGTAGTTTTGCTTCAACTGGAAGTTTTTCTGTAAGAATGATTATGGAGAAAGGTGAAATGTGCAATAACATAGTCCAACCAAAACAAAACAAAACAAAACAGTGTCTTGGTTGTTAGGCCTGTTCCTGGGATGATCTGTGGAACTGATTCAGAAAATTGCATTGGATAGACTGCATCAGCTCTTAGCTTCTCAGATATGGTTATCATGATCTTCTATGGATGAGCAGTTGGTATATGTTAGATAGCATATGTTCTATATCTCAAAAACTAGAGCTGAAAGGAGAAAACTGGTGCCATTTTTGGAATCAGCAGATCATGGTTATGGTTTTATATTATATGTTAATGTTTTTAAATGTTTTAAATGTTTTTATGGTGTTGTTGGGCATTGAATTGTTGCCTCTGTAAATCGCCTTGAGTCGCCTGCAGGCTGAGAAGGGTGGTACACAAATATAGAAAACAAAGAAACAAATAAATAAATAAATAAAATAAAATATAACCAGAAACAGAGCTAACATTTGAGATACCAAAATGTGTGTGAAGATGGTGTAATTATATAAAGCAGTGATTCCCAACCTTGGACCTTCAGGTGTTTTGGATTTCAGCTCCCACAGTTCCTAACAGCTGGTAAGCTGGCTGGAGTTGAAGTCAAAAACACCTGGATGCCCAAAGATTGGGAACCATTGTGTTATATAGTTGCACCAGCTGACACACATTTTGCAACCACTGATATAAAGCAACTTTTCCCCATCAGTGTAATCCACTTCAGTTATTTTTGTGCTCACTTATTTCCTTTAACTAAATATGCCTGGCAGGAGCAGAACCCCAAACACCAGGTAGAGAGTGTGTAGAGAGGACTTGTGCACTTAAGGGACCACAGGCTTGGGTGTGGTAAATCAGTAGGAAAATTCAGAGAATTGTAACAGTGACTACAGAAGCTATGAATGAGAGTTTGGGTGGTACAAATGGAGTCTCTCTGCTCCATCTTTTATAGCAGGAACCATCAAATCAGGAAATCTCTGGATCTCTTTTTAAAATTTATTTAAGTTATGACATTTATATGCTGCTTAATACAATAAAATCTCTAAGTAGTTTACATTATGTAATACAGTTTATACCAGCTTAAAATAATACACAATTAAAAAGGAGCTGAAAGCTAATAAACAGATGGAGCAAAGTAAATAATCCTTATAAATCTTTGAAGGTCTGCACATATAAGTGCATTTTAAGAGGCTTTTAACATGCGATACAGCTTCTGAACCTCAGATTCCCAAGGGTGTTCGCTGCCCATGATATGAACTATCTTCCTGATGTTAAGTGATTCCATTCTGCTGATTGTGGAATGACAAATTAAGGTTGAATCTTCAATGCCCTACATTCCAGGATCTGCTTTGGATTATATGAGTCTAACCTGGGATAAGCAGATAATCTGGGATCGGATTATCGGATACAGAACAGTGTAGAAGGGATCATAGACTCCCAATTAACATGCTACCATGACAGTTAACATGAAATACTGTGTTATGTTTCTATATTGCTAATGGAGCCTTGGTCCAATGAAAATCTTCAACTCTGTATATAAAAGGGAGCCAATATATCACACCTGGAGCAGAAAACAATCTTCATTAGCTCTGGAAGATTTTGTGTTACTAAACCAACTTCAAAACATGGTTTACTACCCTGTCTTGTTATGAAGGTGTTAATCACATTTCCATAGTTCAGATGAAATGAGAAATTACATTTCACAATGGAATTTCTGTCTTTGGACAAAGGGAGAAGCAAAAGGAAAGGGGACATAGCCAAAATGCTTGTGCAAATCAAGAAGTGATCTTATGAAGGTAATTTCTATCTGTTCTATGATGCAGGGTTGATACATTTTCTTTACCATGTGGGGGTGTGCAGTAACACTTTTCACTTGTTAAAGTTATTGGCAAAAATTGGAAGTGTAGAAATGCTGCTTCAATCTAAAGCAGTGTTTCTCAACCTGTGGGTCGGGTATTTGTGCCAAATTTGGTCCCGTGAATGAAAATACATCCTGCATATCAGATATGTGCATTACAATTCATAACAGTAGCAAAATTACAGTTATGAAGAAGCTATGAAAATAATTGTATGGTTTGGGATCCCCACAACCTGAGGAACTGTATTAAGGGGTTACAGCATTAGGAAGGTTGAGAACCACTGGTCTAAAGCAAGTATATCCTGTAACTATGGATTCTAGTAGTAAGAACCATTCAACAGACTGCTTTTGGAAGGTAGTGAGTTCTAGTTTCTGGGGAAATTGTATTTATTTATTTATTTACTTCATTTCTACCCTGCCTTTCTTACCCGAAGAGACTCAAGGTGGCTTATTTTAATAAGAGCTTTAGATGGTCATTTGCCAGGCAAGCCAAAAACCCCTGAGATCTCTTTCAATGCCACATTTCTATGATTTTTCCGGTATCATTTTCATTCCTCTTTGTAATGCATAAAATAGCTGCAAATTCATGTTATCCTTCATATTTCTGCACTGGAAAATAAAGGGTTAAAATAAAGATATGAAGAAAAGGGGCCCTTGAACTTTTACAATTTGAAAAACATTATATGAAACTCCACTTTGAAGGCTTATTATGACAAAGAAGAATATCCAGATGTGATGAGTGATATTTCAAGAAATAGACAAATACTAAAATAGTTCAGCAATGTCTTTCCAGTCAGAGCTTATCAGTTTATCAACTATGTGAATTCAGAGAATGAGCTGAATACTTTTCCTGTCATTTCTGATATAACACAGCACTGGTCTATATTTTTTCTCCCACTCCTAGATCAGTACCAAGTATATACAATAAAAGTATTTTATGAAATACTTAGTTTTGGAGCCAAAGAACACTCTTAAAGGAACCTAACTTCTGGATTCAGCTGGAATTGAATAAGCTATGGGAAAGTAGATCTGGCTCTTAAAGGACAAGAGAGCAAAAGACCTATAAGAAAAGTGCATGAAGGATTGATAACATCAGGCTAAAATAAAACCAACCTTGGGAAGCTACTTAATTCTATGGACCGGTGAGACTGTTGCAGAATTTGCTAGGCCTCTGAACTAACAGGCATGTTGCTTGGAAAAAGGAAGGGTATCAAACAAACAAGCAAATAAAAATCTGCCACCTAGTTAAATCTCCAACAAAACATGGAGCCCCACAATAAGGAAGTATTTATTTGCTAATTTTGTTCTTGAAAGAAGTAATGAACAATTGTAGCATTTTTTTCTGTTACAATAAAATAATAGAATCATAGGATCTCCAATGTTGGAAGTTGGAAGAGACCCCATGGGCCATCCATTCCAACTCCCTGCAAGAATGCAAGAATCCAAGCACCTTCCACCAGATAGCCATCCAGCCTGTTTAAAAACCTCCAGAGAAGAAGACTGCACCATAATCTCACTAACCTATCCCATTGTACCAACAACTTTTTCCATCACGAAGTCCTTCTTTATATTCAAGCAGGATCTCTTTTCCTGTAGTTTGAACCCATTAAATGTTTCAGGTCCAGGTTATTTGTCTAATTGTATCTCCCCATACAGACCAACCTGGGCACTGCGCTCAATGGAGGAGGCCCTGCTCTCGGTCACACCCCCATCACAAGCTCGGTTGGTGGGAACGAGGGAGGGGTCTTCCGCGTGATCGCTTCCCATCCCTGGAACTTCCTAAAGAAGTAAAAACGTCCCTACTATCTTCCTCTCTTTTAAGACACTTCTAAAAATGCACTCATGCACTTTAGTATACGGAGATGGGGAGGACTAAAACACGTTATCCATTTGGAATGCTGGCCAACTCCACTTGCACTATATGGCTGTCATGATACATCTTAAAGGAACACCGGTGCCAGCCATTTTTAATGTAACTGTATTTTAAACTGTTTTGAGGGTATTTGTTGTATTGTTTATTTATGTTTTAGTTAATTATGTTTTACTGACTATTCTCTTATATTTTATCTCAATGCTTACTCCTTCATTGTAAACTCACTGATATTATTGTGCTCTATTGTGCATTTTGATATGTTTTTGTACTCACTTAGGCATTGAATGTCTGCCTTCTTATGTGTAAACCTCTCTGAGTCCCCTTGGGGAGATAATTATAATTAAATTCCATGTCCTGTGACCACATCAGACAGGGTGCTTTTTAGCGGCATATGCCGGTTGACCTTCCCCTTTGTGATGGAAATCGCCGGCTCCCATCCCCCAATGTAGAGCCACTTCTGGCGGGGCTCCATCACGAAAGGGAAGGTCATTCATGTATGTTGCCATGGAAGCAAAATGGGAGGCTTCTATGTTGAATTTTGATCAACAGGGGAAGCCGGGTCACTGACGCTTCCCAAGGTGGGATGGGGTGACAGGTGAGTCATGCAATTTGGGGTGTGGGGCACTTTTTTAAGAGTGCAGAAAACAGCATTCATAATGCAGCAAACCACATTATCTGTGCAGAAATATTGGCCTTGTTGACTCCAAGAGAGTCCACCATCCATATGGAAGCCATCACGTGTACTGAAGGTCAAAGCAGACAAGATGTTGAACCTGTACTTTGAAGGAATACTCCTTCATGTGGCGAAAACCATCTGATCTTACTTTTAAAGAAATTACCTCTAGAAAGGATGCATGCTGAAATATTTTATTTCTTCCGTTCTGTCATAAAGAGGTAAATACAGAACATACAAAACTCACGGACTTTGAAGTCTGAAAAAACACAGAAGAAAAGTCCCACAGAAAGTCATGGCTTTTAAATAAAGCCTTTGAGGCTTAATTGATTTATTCTTAAATTTACAAGCACGTGGTTTTAAACCATGTTAATGTTTAAAACGTGTTGTAACCTATTAAATTGTTTATTATGCTTTTAGTCTGTTTAAATTATTTTTTATTGTTTCAAAATTTAAATTGTTTTAAACTGTTTAATTGATTTTACTTGCATGCTGACCAGGATATACATTTTTCATTCATGAATAAATAAAACAAGCAAAAAGATAGCAATATAATTGCATGATACCTGCAGAAACATATTACTTATTTCAAATTAAACATGAGCTTCATTTGAAAGTTTTCCTAAGATGTATTTCTAAGCAGTTTCATCCATGATAGAAAAAAAATGCAAACAGATGCTAATTAAGGATGACTGGATTAATCCAGTTTAGCCCCACATGAAGGAAATTTGGGGGATACTCCAGAAAAACTCCACCATTTGGACACAGTGTGACCAAATCTGATCTGAACTGGCCCAGTCTGCTTACAATTCTGATAGAAGTTTTCTGCCCAAGATTAAATTTTGGCTAAAGCTAGATAAAAATATTTGGGCCGAGTCAAGAAACAAAAATGTTCCTCATTATACAACAACCATCCTTCTTTCCTTGGTGGTAGCGAAAATTTAATTTTCCCTTTCCAATGTAGTCTATTGGGAAAAACTGTTAATTCATTTGTATTCAGTTTGCGGTCCATATTAAACTTTTGTGGATTCAGGCTGCTTCCAGCACACAGGTAGACTATGAAAGTTATTTCATAAAGTCTAACAAAAAGTCCAAGATTGACAAATGAAGCCTATGGATGCATCTATGCTGGAGAATTAATGCAGTCTGACACAACTTTAACTGCCATGGTCTAGTGCTTTGGAATCCTGGGAGTAGTAGATTTACAAGGTCTTTAGGCTTCTCTGCCAAAGAGTACAAACAAAAATCCTAATATTCCATAGCCATAGCACTGAGCCATGGCAGTAAAAGTGGTGCCAATATACATTAATTTTACAGTATAAATGTACTTTAGGGACTTCATCCAATGTGATAATAGAGTTGGGGATCGTTGTTTTCCCCTTAAGTTTCATAACACCCTGTTTGGAAATCAAACAAATGATTTCCTACACCTATCACACATTTTCCTTCATTCAGCTTTCTTTTCAAATTATCAGTTTGCCTTCCCATCACCTGTGAGACATATTTTTCCTTCCACTGTCTCCTCCCTCATTTTCATTTACTTGAAAATATGCTCTGTGTTTGTTCTCACGTAAGATCATTAAATGGGATGTTTTCTATTCTATACTATTCTACATTACAATTTATCTTTATAAGTACAGTCAAGGAAGTTCAAGAGTGATAAATGCGAGGTACTCCACTTAGGCAGAAAAAATGAAATGCAAAGATACAGAAAGGGGGATGATGCCTGGCTCAAGAGCAGTACGTGTGAAAAAGATCTTGGAGTCTTTGTGGACAACAAGTTAAACATGAGCCAACAATGTCATGTGGCAACAAAAAAAAAGCCAATGGGATTTGGGCCTGCATAAATAGGAGTATAGTGACTAGGTCCAGGGAAGTCATGCTACCCCTCTAATTCTGCCTTGGTCAGACCACACCTGGAATCACACTGTGTCCAGTTCTGGGCACTGCAATTGAAGGGAGATGTTGACAAGCTGGAATGTGTCTATAGGGGGGTGACTAAAATGATCAAGGGTCTGGAGAACAAGCCCTATGAGGAGCGACTCAAAGAGCTGGGCATGTTTAGCCTGCAGAAGAGAAGGCTGAGAGGAGACATGATGAGGCCCATGTATAAATATGTGAGAGGAAGTCACAGGGAGGAGGGAGCAAGCTTGTCCTGGAGACTAAGCCTATGGGGTTTTTTCAAACTCTATGATTCTATGATATCTCTCAATTTAAAAAGTCTATTGCATTTATATTGAAACAAAAAGATTATGGTGGAAGAAAGGAATCTATACTGCCCATCTTGGCTCCTGCCTCCAGAATTACATCATCATTATGTTTACAAATGGGCAATGGAAAATTCCTATCACACGTTAAATTTGGAGTTTTATCTGTCTCTACGTGGGGAATTTAAAATGAAGTTGACTGCCAATCAACTTAGGAATTGTTGGAACAAAACACACTTTAGAAATGGCAAAATATGTGAATCCTATGGTACGAGCTTGTGTTACGTGATGGGCTCTATCGATAGCTGTTTCTTAAATGTGTAGAAAAGCTGATTTTATTGTGTGTGATGAAGTGGTAGGAGCCTCTAAATCACACGGCATATTGGTGATAACGCCCGACCAGACATGCAAAAAGGGGCAAGTCAAAGTCATTAATGAAGCCCTGCTCTTGGATTTACCTTTGGGCTTGTAGCATGGTGTAGGAATGATGCACTCTTCTTTGATGTGAGGCTTTGTTTTAGGGCTGCAGCCGCCTGTATGCATCCCTCTGTGATCAATGCAGAGAACCACTCGGTACCTCAAGCCTTGCCCACATGTCACTGTGCACTGGAAGGGAAAACAAGCATGAGTTGCCACAAAAAGCAAAAATCAGCCTCTCTTTTCCAGTCTTGGCAGCAGCTGGAACCAGGATTGCTTCATCCACTAGTTAGGATCTTTAATTTGTGGATGAGTTGCATTCTGATCTTGCATAATGTATAATTAATAAAAATTATTTTAAAATGCCATAAATAAATAAATAAATAGGAAGCATAGAACAGTTAACATAGCAGTAGCATAGAGAAATAATAATACGTGCTATAGATCTGATCAGAGCAACAGTGACATTTTCCTACACATTTTCTTAGAATTATAAACATTGATTTCTTTAGTTTTTGAAACTTCTGTGAACTCCTATGGTCAGATCTTAATCAGTAAAAAACAATGATTTCTAGAAGGAGATGACATCTATTCAACTTATTTTGGAACAAGTTTAAAAACTACTTAAAATAGGGGAAAAGATTCTGGATGAGGTTGAAATTGCAGAGATATAGTACTACCAAAGCATTCTGATATTAGTGCATAATGAGTTAAGACTTATTATATCATTTTGCTGTCAATAGAAAAGGAAAATTTAAATCTGCAGGGGTCATTATAAATATTAAAGTTCTTCCGCTTAATTATTATGGTTGGACTTTTGGCTTTTTTCCAGGTACTTGGGCACTAGTCCAGTATTTTTGCTTTATGGTCAAAGGGCACATTATAAATGCTTAAATCATGTCTGTAGATAGCTTACCACTCTCAAAGCATGCCTATGAATTATAATTCAACTACATTATTTATATTTGACTGTTTCTATAAGTTAATTGGCTGAAATTTTATGTATGCATCTTGAATGCATTTACAGGTAAAATTCACTATAAATAAAAGCATAGACTGTCAGTAGAGCATAATTTTTTTCTCTCCTTGGTTCAATTTTATTTTTTTTAGAATTTTCAACATTTTGTGGGGAAACCAGAATGCTGATAGTGCCTTAGACAAGAAAGGCGGATGTATGCACTGGCTAATCATTTAACCATTGAGGCAAATAGTATAAAGGGCCAAATTCTAGAATCTCAGTAACTGTTTGCCCTCACATACCGAGGATTTTCCTTTGATAAATAATATATTCATCATCGCAGGGGAGCTGTTCTTGAAAGAAAGAACCTACATGAGGAAAACTGTCAGCAGAAAGCAGAAATGTCAGTGTATTGTGCTGGCAAGATAAAAGAGTCATTTACTGACACCGGTTCCACTAAGGTAATGTATAAATGAGAGTGTGGGTGTACCATAAAATGACATGCATGTACAATAACCATTGTGTTTTTCAAATTGTGAGCTGTGGGAAGTATTAAAGGAGTGTAACATATTTAAAATGTTGTGTTTCTCTTTACAGAGGGGCTATTTCATTTAATTATACACCAACAAGACCCCAGAATTGATAGGGACTTTTAAAAAAATGCCATTTCACCTTGCACATTTTTTCCTAGTTATCTTCATTTGCTGTTACAGACATTTGCTGAAAATATTGCAGGTACTTCTGGAATGAAGGGAATTAATCCACAAATCATTAAAATTCACATACAGTCAACCCTCCACATTCACTAGGGTTAGAAGTACAGGATCACTATGAAAGAGATGAAATGTGAATAAAAAAACCACCACTGGTTTCAGCATAATGCTATGGTCACCTTGTGCTGTAAGATGGCATCAGAATTGTGGATTTGATTGAAAATATTATCTCTAGGAATCTATAGGTGCTACAGCATGACTTTATGGTCAAGATCTGGTTATTTATAAAAACTAAACATCTGGGGGAAGTCGGTAATAGAGTTGCACTGGAGGAGCTGGAGATTCTTAGAGAGAACACCTCTTCTGAATCTCTAGGTCCTCTAGAGCAGAGTTTCTCAAACTGTGCTCCTCCAGGTGTTTTGGACTTCAGCTCACAGAAATCCCAGCCAGCTTACAAGCTTTTAAGAATTGTAGGAGCTGAAGTCTACAACATCTGGAGAAGAACAGTTTGAGAAACTTTGCCTTAGAGGACCTAGAGATTCAGAAGAGGTGTCCTATGAATCTCTAGCTCCTCCGGTGCAACTTCCCCCAGATGTTGACCATAAAGTCATGCTGCAGAACCTATAGATTCCTAGAGATAATATTTTCAATCAAATTCACAAATAATTAAGTCCTCAAAGGTCAAAATGCAAATGTGGAGGGCCAACTGTACATACATAATTTGAAGAACAGGATTACCGGTGACCACTCCTGAGCCAACCACTTGGGACAATCAAAGATGTTGCAGGGCTGGACAATGGGCATCTTGGGAGTGTACATGCACTTCCACTCTTCCACAGAACTGATAAGCCCCTGGATATCTTCCTCCACACAAGAGACTGTGCGGCTCTGGATGCCTCCCCCACAAGAGGAAGAGCAGGCAGTCCACGGAGTGCTTTCCCACCTGCAAAATGAAATGCCAGTCAAGAAATATCACAGCACCAGAGCTGCTGATCTGTATATAACTTTTTCATACATAGTACAACTCTCATATCCATAAAGAATATGTTCCAAGACTCTTTGTGATTAATAGTATACCCCATATTTTGACTACACTTGGGCTGGAAGTATAACACAGAATTACATAGAAGCCTACAAATATTTCTGGAGAGACAAGACTATTTTTGGAACATGGGTAAGTGAAACGGTAGCTATCATATCTATGGACAAGGGGGCCGTACTGTATTCACATTCTCCCCAATTTGCCTGAACTTCACTGATACATCAATCAGCATTTCACCCTCTAATGCCCAACTGAGATCAAATATTGAAAGAGTTTGCAATATGACACGTGTGAAAGACAGGCATGAATTTAGTATGCCAAAGTGTGTTCCTAGAACTGCAGGAGGAAATGTAAATAACATTTCTTAGCAAAAACTAACCCATGGCATTGAAGAAATACAAAGATCCACTGTACTAAGTGCTTGCCTTTTAGTAAAAGATATGACAGACTTAGAATAAAAAGACTCAACGAGATCTGAGTGTTTATGTGGGCTTTTTTGGAGGGGGTATTTATCAGGGACCTTAGAATATATTATTCATAACGGATATTGGTGCTGGTAGTATTTTGCCAAGCACAATACCTTTAAAGGGATATATCTGGTCCAAATAATCCTATTTCTGATTCCTACATTAATTTGATTCAAATAATTATGTTCATTCAGCTTCACACCCCACATACAAACTCAATGCACCAGATGGAAAGCAGGTCCATGGTGACTGGCCTTGCTAGTTACTCTAATGTCTGGAAAGGAGTGCCCTGCATATACAGGTGAAGTTCCTCTTCAAGGCACTTAGGAGTCTTGCTCACATATGGATTTTCTATACATACATGTGAACTTCATGCAGTTCTGTAGACACTGACTGTGAACACAGCCACACTTCCTCATTCGCAGAATTAGTGAATGGGTTTAGTTGTTTTATGAACAATCTGCTATTAATGCAAAACTAACAAGTAGTGTCTTCAGATTTAAGACTAGTCTGTTTTGGTTCTCATGCAGGTCTATCTTTGCAAACTGAATGCACATTTAGCAACTGAGTAAATATGGTTAGAATTGCATTTTAAAACATGAACAGGGCATTATTTTCAGACCCTTATGCTCCAGAGGGCAGGATTAAATTTGAGAGGCAATTGCTAGAGGCTAATCTTTCAAGAAAGATTAAGAAAAACTTTCATAAAAGTAGGAGCCACTTGAAAGAGGAAGAGGGTGCCTCAGGATTGGTTGTGTTCTCATTTATTATAGGTATTAAAACTGAAACTACCAGTAAGTTAGGTGCACAGGACCCCAATGAAAGTGAAAAATCACAAATGGAAAAACCTGCTATTTTTAAAACTAAGACTCTTTTAATGAAACAAGGTTGGCTTTGACTTCCTAAGTTAAGCATCCATGGTGGCAAGCATACGTTTGCTTTTTCACAAATTGCAAATTGTTCTTGCCATATGAAAAAGAAGTATCTTGTGATATTCTTCAGCACTAAGGTTTAGATGAGATGGCCACTGGATGCTTTATAAATCTTATGATGTTCTTCAACACCAGGATTTAGAATAGATATGATTATTTGATGCTTCATAAATCTTAGGAAATCATGAGACTAGGTCCAAAACTATGCTCCTTGTCTTTTTTCTCCACCTTCAGAATTGGTATGAATGGCTTCTTTGCATTTTTAGAATTCCCTGTTATGTATGAGTTAGTAAGCTCTGGCTAAGTGTTGGCAAACAAGATGGGTGGAAAAGGCAGGGTATTTTCTTGGTTTCGTTAACAGTTTCTGCACCAGATTTCAAGGGTTTTGATGTAACAGCAAACCTTGGGCTTAACACCAGCAAGCATCTTCACACTGAATCTTATGGTGTGATTATGCTAAGGGTGATTCATTTTCAGCAACTCAAATTATAATGTATAAAGCCTTGAATATGCTTTTAAATGAGGACCATGCCTCAAGTTTGGGTATTAACAAAAAAAACCTGTTAATTGTTTGGAATAAGTAGCAAAGTGAAAGCAAAATGAAGAACTAAGGGTGACAAAAACTGTTCAGCCAACATGGGAGGGTCAACACATGGTCTACATGTTGCATGTACCTTCCACACAATTTGCAGTCCTGTAAATCCACAGTAGTGCCCACAATAATAACATCAACAACCAAATAATGAAAAAAGCCAAATTATACTCATGAACACTTCCATGATTTTTTATTCTTCTTAAAAATTAAAAGTCTCAGTGTCCCGACCATTTCTGCTTTCAGCTTTTAGGGCAACTCATGGTCAATCCTGCAGGGAGAAAATTACCCCAATACCCATGGAATTTAGGAGCCCCCTCCTCCCAACTGAGCAGTATCTGGAACAACTGAAACTGAAGAAAGGAAATATATTTCAAGTTCTTGTACTAAAACAAACAACCTGGTTGTACACTCATATACCTCTGTCCAATAGATCTGTTCAGACCAATTTCTGCACAAAGGATATAAGCATTCTTTGTACAATTTTCTTGCTGTTTTTTTTCATTCCAGCCAGAAATGGAATTAGGTATGGGAAGATTAGCATGGTATTCCATGCTTAACAGTCACTTTAGCTGAAACGGATGGTAATGTAAGTCTTAAAGACACATAAACATACATTGGCTTATTGTAATTGGATGGCTGCTTCAGTGATTAGGCTCCAATTGTCTCTGAATGAATGCATACAAGCAAAAGTAATGCCAATAAGCCAAGCATAATTAAATAAAGCTGCTTCATCATGGCTGTCCCTGCACAGTAAGGCCTTAGCCACTGGGGTTTTTTTTTAAAGTAAGAGACAATTCCTTTTTATTGGAACAAGTAATGATTCCAAGTAGTAACTTGACTGTAGTTCATTTATAATTGACTAAAGGCTGAATATCTGTTTGAAATTTTTAAGATCAGAAGTGTTTCAGGGTTATAAAAAAATTATTTTGAAATACCCATATTTGCAGATACATACATAATGAGATATCTTGGAAATGGGACCAAGGTCCAAACACAAAATTCATTCACATTTCATATACCATTTGTATACATAGTTTGAAGGTAACTGTATACAATTTAAGAATTTTGTGAATGAAATAATGTGTGCATACTGAATCATTAGAAAGCAACAGCGTCCCTATCTCAGTCACCCATGTGGACAATTTTGGAGTATTCTGAATTTCAAAATTTGGATAAGGGATTGCTCAACCTGTACTTTGAAAGTCGTTAATTAGAATAAGGATTCAAAAGGATCGTAATAACTGACATTGCTATTGTATATAGACTATTATCAGCCTTGTAAGCAACTGATTAATCAGGACACTTCAAATTCAGTATTTAATTTCAAAGCTGCTCCTTAATCAATAGAGTGCGAATGCCTTTGTGAGACAATTTTAGCTAAACACTAGCCCCTCATCTATCAAACATGTGCATACTAGCACATGGAAGAAAGGAAGAGTGAGACCAAAAAAAATCTGCCATGATCTGTGTTTTTCCCCATAACACAAGTGATCATTCCAATTGACAAAGTTCTTGTTTTCCTGCAATGAACAATTTTTCTGTAGGAAAGCTCAGGACAATTCAGCTTCTATTCTCCTCAATGTATGAAAAAGCAGAAGACAACAAGAAAGAAAGAAAGAAAGAAAGAAAGAAAGAAAGAAAGAAAGAAAGGCAGAAAGACAGAAAGAAAGAGAAAAGAAGGGAGGAAGGGACAGTCCCAGTCAGAACATGGGGTTTGTGGGCCACTGTCACTCTCTGTTATGATCCCAATAACCACAAGCATGTATTTGTACATTTGTTAAATTGAGTATTTGGTTTACATACCGGGGAAGAGGATGGTAGAGGTCATAAGGCATGATCTGCTTGTATCCATCACTGTTAGGAACAATAATGCCAACCCTCTGAGTAGAAGGTACACACAATAAAATAAACACTAAATGATTACATTATACAAAAACCACATTTTAGTCAAAAACCACATTTACTCATGCATTCATCTTTTTTTGCTCCTAATTGTCACAAAACACATAAAATGTATCCCTCTACTGATTTATATAATTGATCATACTACAAATGCTGGAGAAAAGTAAACTTGGTCATCCTTATTAATTGAAAAATGAAATTACTTGTGATTGATCAGTAGGCTTTAATTTGGTAATATTTCAACATAACATTTTTCTCTAGTACTGTATAATCTTAATATATTGGTTTATTTAGCTTTAAAAGGCCTTTAAAAGATAGTAGTGGTACAGCTATTGCACGAACTCTCTTCTGTTGTGCACATGTATTCACTGCTTGACTATCTATTTATATTGTGGCTTGCCATCATGAAGTCAATGCTTTTACAATTTGCTTTTCAGATTCTCTCATAGTGTTTGCACAGCTTGCACAGTTCTGAATAATGGGGTAAACAGAGAGTAGCTCAATATAATTTTCTTAGGAAGCTATGCCCAAATAATGTTGTGGATGACTGAGCAGTTTAACCACAGACTATTTCAATGGCTGGAATAAGAAAAGTCACTTTTATCTGGATAGCAAATAAAAGGATTCAAAATATATGTGATGTATGAGATAAAACACTTCCAGCAAGCCTAATGCCTTCCACCAAGTTTAATTTACATTCATGGAGTAGATGAGATCTAGCCGATGGTGAAGAAAAGAACATTGGGCGTTCTACTCTAAGTTAGCCTTGCAAAACAAATCCAAAGACGACTGTGGCCCTTACAAATGTTTGTCAGTGATATTCTCTTTTTTTCAGTCACAGTTCCTTCAAGGAGCCATGTGAAGAGATAAAAATAAAATGTGAAAATAAATAAATAAAATGTAAACTGCTCTTTTACAAGCTTGCTCTGAATGACTATGGAGGATTAGCCAATTCTCAAATTGGTTAGCAACATAGGTTTTATTCATCCATTCTGACTCTATTTAAGGAACAGCTATTCTTGAATGTGGTTTGTTACAACATCTGATCTTAGTAGGTTTCTCACTTATGTGATACCTTTCTCTTCTCTTTCACTTTTCAGGCTACAGACTGGCGCCTCTTTGAAGGTGCTTCTGATATGCAAACCACCCGTCCTTCCCTTTTTACATTAATTACAACCTTAATATTGATAATACTTAACTGAACATACCTTTTAACACTCTGAATGACACCCCATTACCCATCCTTTCTTTACTTGTCCTGACAAAGTAATTTTGTGCCTTCACTTCAAATACTTCTTCTCATACGTAGGGGGTTTTTTTTCCGCCTACACCTCTAATGAATAAAAATTATTCCTTCTGGCCTTTTACAGATTTTGCTCACTCATTTCCTTTGCCTGCCACCTCTAGCTATTTACCATATATTTGACAGAATCAGGTCTACAGAACGCAAGGATGTGAACTACTGGGAGCCAAAGCACAGAAAAGTTACTTCTATAGACTGTAACTCACAGAATACCACAGTCACCTCAACAATTGTAGAATTGTAGTCTGAGAAGTAATTTTTCCTTGCTCTGCTACAGTTGAGTAATCCTCCAGGGAGATAGGATGGCATATAAATAAAGATTATTATTATTATTATTATTATTATTATTATTATTTTCATGAATGCCCATGGGCTATAAAAAGCATCTAGTTCTAAAAATGCAACAATTCATTTTCTCTTTTTAAAGAAACTTTTTATATTGAAAAAAGACAACCAGAGCTACTTTTAAAAACATTAACAGGATTCATAAATAAGACAAACTACTGATTTAGTTAAAACCATATGTGAACAAATAAAAAAGCAAATAAATATATTGGCGATCATAACACCAATAACCTGCATAGCCTCAAAAGTGAAAAGGTTGAATAGTGATGGAAAGAACAAATATATATCGTAATGATTTTTTAAAAATAGTACTGTATTGAAGCTTCATGAATTAGGACTAATTCTGAGCAAAAAATTGCATGTGTTTTTTTGTATTTTATTTTCTGTACAGAAAACACAGTTTCCAGTGTACTGCATTTGCATATTTTGCACAAATAACAGCATTTTCTATACAGAAAATAATATGCTGTTTTCTGTGCAAAATATACAAATGCAGTACACTGGAAACTGAACTTTTTGTTTAGTAATATTTCTGTGCTTCTGTGTAGAAGTATTATTGCTTGTGCAGAAAATACTATTTGTTGTGTAAAAATACCATGCACTTTTGTGCAGAATCACTACTCAAGTGTGAAAAGTCTTAATGTTTCGTTAGAGTGTTTTTCTGCTATTATATTTTAAGCATCTTTGAAGGGCTTTTTAAACTTGGTTTTAAATGTTTATAAACTGTATCTGCGAATACAGAAACCCAGTTTTATTGTGCTTTGTCTCTCTGTGCGTATTGAATTATGGTGACCCTATGACTTTTTAGAGATACTTTTCCAAGTTCCTTCCTCTGAAATATAGCCTGGTAATTTTGGGTGGTTTCCCATCTAAGTACAAACCAGGGCTAATCCTGCTTAGGTGGGATCTGGTGACTTTAAAGCCTTTAGGTAAAGGTAAAGGTTTTTCCCTGACATTAAGTCCAGTAGTGTCCGACTCTGAGGATTGGTGCCCATATCCATTTCTAAGCCAAAGAGCTGACATTGTCCGTAGACACCTCCAAGGTCATGTGGTTGGCATGACTGCATGGAGTGCCGTTACCTTCCCGTCAGAGCGGTACCTATCGATCTAATCACATTTGCATGTTTTTGAACTGCTAGGTTGGCAGAAGCTGGGGCTAACAGCGGGAGCTCACACCACTCCCCTTATTTGAACCTGCAATGTTTCAATCAGCAAGTTCAGCAGTTCAGCACTTTAACCCACTGCACCACTGGGGGCTCTAGACAAGGGTTTTAACTGTTGTATTAACTATTTTTTAATTGTATCGTGCTTGTAAATTATTGTACACTGACTTAGAACCCCTGTTGGGAGAAGGTCAAGATAAACATAAATCAATATACTTCAAGAAATACAATTTCAGCATCCAAATATATGCAGTTATGAAGAGAATGTGAACACAGCAAATATAGGTGTTCTACGTATGAAAAATATTCTCTTTCTCACTCTCTGCAATGCTACACATTTGTGGACTGAAGGAATATTCCAGAGAATGCAATTTTTTTATGTCAGTGATACCCTCACTTTGCCCCCCGCAATAGCTGTCCCTAATTGAATCTGATTATTGAAAGCACTTATATGACTTTACCTTATGAACCCTTGTTGTAGGGCAACTGATATGGCAGAAACTTTGTCCCACTTCTTTGCTTATTGCTAATAATTCACACATTGCAAGCACGCACAGGGAGTGTATTCTCTTAGAAAATGTGCCAAATCCTATGGGTACTCCAATCATGAATGTAGGGGAAATGGGAATGCAGATCTTTGCCTCATAATTGCTGTCTATTTAAATACCTTTCAGTGATGTGATGACAGTAAAAGAGGAAGGCAGTGAAGAAAGTTTCAGCATGACCTGCCAATTAGACATGAACTGAATAGACCTCTCTAATTAGTTAAGAAAACATCCTGTCAAGAGAAGTCTCTTCCAGTTTCATGTTCTTATCCATGATACCAATATGCCTTCTTTGTCATAATTAATGAAAAGAAATTCAAATCGTAGCAGCCAGCTGGTCATGTATGGGATTCATTTTGAGCACACAGCAACTATTTCTTTCAGTCTGCTCCTCTAACTCAAAACCTGATGTTTCCCAGGCATCTTTTCTTTTCTTTTTTTGAAAAAAAAAAGGTCTTGGAGACTTTGGTACATACATTTGCATGTAACTAAAGGCCCATTCAGGCATTCTGTTTCTTGAACAACCAGAAATAGCCCAAGGTCCTGGCTCTCCATTGACAATTCCAGTCAATGCCCACAATAACCCAAACCAGCTAAATGATGTCAACACAAAAAGGAGACAAACCTCAGGAACACCCATCTCACTTCTGGACAATAAAAGTACAACAGCCACAGAACAAAAAGCCATCAATTTGTTGCCCCTTTTTGGCATCCCAGATCTGTTGCCTAAGGCCCCTTCCACACAGCTGAATAAAATCCCACATTATCTGCTTTGAACTGAGATATAATAATAATAATAATAATAATAATAATAATAATAATAATAACAACAACAACCACCACCACCACCACCACACCAGGTGACAGTCACATTGAGGAAAAACAACAGGAAAAACTCAGCCACTATCAAGACCTCAAAATCGAACTGCAAAGGCTCTGGCATAAACCAGTACAAGGTGGTCCTAGTGGTCATTGGCGCACTGGGTGCCGTGCCAAAAGATCTCAGCCGGCATTTGGAAACAATAAACATCGACAAAATCATGATCTGTCAACTGCAAAAGGCCACCTTACTTGGATCTGCACGCATCATTCGAAAATACATCACACAGTCCTAGACACTTGGGAAGTGTTCCACTTGTGATTTTGTGATACGAAATCCAGCATATAGATCTCGTTTGCTGTGACATATTGTGCTTTTGTGTCAATAATAATAATAATCATCATCATCATCATCATCATCATCATCTTTATTTATATCTCACCACCATCTCCCCAAAGGGACTCGGGGCGGCTTACAAGGCATTCCAGGGTGCACATATAACACACAACAGGTAAAAGCAGTACAAAAGTATATAACAAGTCACATAAAATTGTAACAACAACCCTCGTCAACACATGTAACATAAAATCAAAATAATACAATTTCAAAACAATAGCAGATAAAACTAACTGCCATCAATTCACAAGATGCCAAGTGTCAGTGTGGACTCAGATAACCTAGGTCCCTTCCACACAGCCATATAACTGAGAATATCAAGAAAGAAAATCCCACAATATCTGCTTTGAACTGCGTTATCTGAGTCCACACTCTCTGTATTACAGTTCAAAGCAGATAATGTTGGATTTTATTCAGCTGTGTGGAAAGGACCCCAGTTCAAAGCAGATATTGTAGAATTTTCTGCCTTGGTATTCTAAGGCAGCCACCTTACTGTACCTAATAGTAGGGTGAAGTAGGGTTGGTCCTGTGAATAAACAACATTTGCACTACTACGAAATGTCTGAAGCAAAGAGGTTTCTGTAGGCTCCCTGCAATATATGTACCCCAGGAAAAACTGAATTTTACAGAGCAAAACAGGTGGAGCTAGTATGCCAAGCCTCGTAGTGATGAATATTCATTATTTACAAAAATGCAATGCCTGAGTAGGGTGCTATTTGTAGAAAAAACATCCACAATTTTGTCATTTTTCTTTTAAAAACCATAAACTGGTAGCTGTAATTGCATTTTGTGGCCTTCCCAGTGGATCCGCTCTTTGTCCCAAACTTAATAAATACTTCCTTTTTTCCTTTCCTTTCTATTCGATTCTTTTCCTTTCCTGTGTCCTCCTTCCTGCCTTTCTATTGGAGGGTGGTGGTGGAGGGAACAAACAAATACCTATTATTGTTTTGAATCTACCATATATACTCTTTTTTTTTTTTTACAAAAATGACTTTAAAAAACCTCAGTTGACTTTATAGATGGATCACTGATGGAATTAAGGCAATGAGACTAACGGCAATGAGAACATCCTGTTTTATTTGAAAAGCCCTTTACAGCACTATCTAATTCTTTGTAAGAGGAGATAGCTATCATTATGACCCTATACCTACAATATCCAGTTCTCCCATTAGTTATGGGAGAACTAATTTATCAGTGTGTGGTTGGGGACGGGTAGTTTTGGTTCAATGGAATAGTTATGTCAGTGTTTGTTATCCCAACCTCATTCAGGAAAAGAAGGGGGGAAAGCAAATGAGGATAAGAAACACTCAATGTTTTTTACCTTTTAAAAAAGTAAATATACTTAATATCTAAGTAAAGAGAGATCAAAATGATGGGAGTGTCTCTGTTTATTGCACTTTTAAAATGGGGGACATCATCAGCTTTGTTAAAGAGTAATAATCCCTATGAACAGAGTGCTGCATTCTCTAGTTCATCTAGTTTATTTCATCAAATTCTGCTAAGACAGCAGAGAGTTTATGCTTTAAACTCTCCTGCCCTTTGGGATCTTTATGTCAACAGCTTCACCTAGATCTGTCTTGTATAAATGGGAAAATTACTTCCTGACATCTGCCCAGAAGTTATTTTTCACTCTCTCTTTTGATCTGCATGTACTATGCAGCCACCTGTCTTAATGATGATGCATGTGGAGTGTCAGATCATACCCAGAAAAGAAGCTTGAAAACAGAACTGATTTCCCAGAAACTAATGGCATGCATGAATGTCAACAGAATAAACGAGGAAGGGCAGCGTTCAAAAATGAATGGTGAAAAGTAAATACACATCCAGGCCAGCATAAATATCACTTGCATGAAGGACCAGGTGTCCACCTCATTGATTATGCAAGGCTGTGGTTGCATTCTTTCAAAAATTGGGTTGAGTCTCTGATTTGCATGTGGTACATTAGTCATGTCTAGTGTTTTACAGACTGCATTTTTTGTTTCTCCATGTGAGCCAGCAGGTCTCTCCAGAATCACAAGCTGTGTGCACCTAATCTATTAAAAGTTACTACAATGCAAAGTTACATGTGGGGCTGGGTTCCACGGCATTTGGCTGCTCAAGGTAAAGGACAAAATAGCATCTCTCTCCTATTCCATCTACAGGAGTTGACCAGTCTAGTAAATGTTTGTGTTGGCACAATGGCTTCCTAACACCACTAGGTTACCTTTACGAGTGCAGCAATCCATGCCATGACACATGTAGAGCTACACTGATGAAAAAAAAATCATGTCACCTCATTTTCCCACTCCACATTGACCTTGCAATTATCCTGTTAACACCACCTACCCTTTAATGAGTTCACAATAACGGTGGACTCAAGTTGCGGTTAAGGGATGACCCACATTTCCAGTCATTTGCTTTATTTTCAGACACACAACTTTTGCCCCTCCCCTCCATCATTCATGAAAATACATATATTTTCTGTCAAGCGGTGTGTGTGTGTGTGGGGGGGGGGAGGGGTTGACATTTATACTGATATGCAAGTATCCACACATAGGCATCTTTTTTTAAAAAATACGACCCACTTCTTAGCGAGAATGACCAACCAGTTCTGCCCACTGCGAACTCTTCCCTCCACCCAACTCCACAGTGAAGCAGTAAAGTCTAAATTCCAGATTTTCTGCAAAACTGCAGGGTGAAAGGCAAGGGTTTTCTAAAATCGAGATTGAAATCCAAAGAATCTCGTTGCAACAGAATTGTCAAGAACATAATGTGTCAGAATCAGCGTCTAATAGTTGAGCATGGTTTTTTACAGCATAGACAAGCCCATACACCTCTTATCTTCTCAACATCTTGTCATAATTCCTATTTCCCAGCACCTGCTGCCTGAGGCAGCAATTTTGCTCAAGCTAATACTAGGATAAGTCTTAGCTCAGAGATATGCACAAATTGGTTTTCTGAAATGGTTTAGCACCATAGTTCCTGGGGTTTACCATCTAAGTCATTTCTTATTAGCAATAAAGGGACTTATACTCAACCATCTTTTCATAACAGATCTCCCGAAGAGCCAAACAATAGAATAATTAACTTGCTTGTTTTTGTTCTATGTTTAAAAAAGCATTTCAAAGTGATGAACTGAGTTACCTTGCAGGACAGGGATCCAAGTTGCATTCCTGAAGTTTTGGCTTGGGTTTGATGTTTTCAGGATAGTAGTGGCAATACTGATCGGCCACCACTCTGTTGCTTCTCAGATCATAGCATTCTGCAGAGGTCAGCTGATAACCTTAAAAAATCCAGATTGAATAAAGACACAATGCTCTGTGTAGAATACAAGCTTTATGTGCAGATCAATTATAATCTTATGCAAAGCTTAGAAATGCAGTTTTTGTGGACTAAAACTCCTGGAGCTCACAATGGTAAGTTCTGCGATACAGCTAGCATTCAGTAACACCTTGTCAGAATGAATACGTTTGTTAGAATACATATTCTTAGTGTGTCTTAAAACGCAAAGGTACATTAGATGATGATGTTTGCTTCTATATCAGTTCAAAGACTAAAAATGTGGCTTGAGGGACAGCTAATCACCTCTCAACAATGGATGTCTCCAGGCAGTAAGAAGCCCGACCTTGAGAACTGCTAAGCCATCAAATGCTAATCAAGGTGGCCAATTGAAACATTCACACCTACCTCTAACAGACAAGAGTTCTTTCTCCCACCCAGAACATTCCACAGATACACACACACACACACACACACACACACACACCTAATTTTCCTTGTTTCCAACAAACCTCACAACCTCTGAGAATGCCTGCCATAGATGCAGATGAAACATTAGGAGAGAACATGGTCATACAGCCCGAAAGATTTACAGCAACCCAGTTATTCCGGCCATGAAACCCTTTGACAACACACTGAACAATTCTGCAATGCTTACGATTTGACTTTTCTTTTTTAAAGAGGGAAGCCAATTTCCTTGCAACAGTGAAACTCCAGTGGGGTGCTTTATTATTCTATTTTATTGTGGCTTAAATCTTTAGATAGCCTTTTCTGTGTGTACAAATCTCAAACATTTAAGATCAGTGGTAACAAAATCTAAAATGATAAAGAAATAAAGAGGAAACCACTCGCTCTCCCCAACTACTCATAACCTTTCTGTGATTTATCTTCTTCCTTCCCTTAAAGCCAGCTTTGGATTCCACAATAAAAGCCTCCTTCTGTGCATTTCCTCTCATTTCCCCTTCTATTTCCCCATATGGGAGTATCAGCTGTTGCGACTTAATTTCAATTACCAGATGCCTGTTCTTTGGACTCCAGAGAAGCTGCTACACTGCCACTGTCCTTGACCACAAAGATTGAATAACCTCCATGAGGCTTTAATTACTAGTTATTGTGGCAATTACTTTAATTCCCATCCAAAATTATGGACCAGGTGAGGGAAAGGTCAAACCACAGGCTTTCTATGGCACTAGGACTTTGCAAGCTTACATTAACTAAAGTGCTTAATATCAGAGAACAAGTTATTAGTTTCTGGCCCTTCATTTGCTTTAGTGTAGAGGTTGGGAAACCTTTATCCTGCCATATGGCTTGGCTGAAAACATCCATCAACTTCCATGCCCACGGATTGTGGGAGGTGTAGTCCAAAGGCTCAGGTAAGCCAAAGGTTCATTACTCTTGTATTAGCACATGCAACGGCTTGAATTTCTTACTCCAAAAAGGACTGTCAAAAAGCTTCTGCACTGATGGTGTGTTTGCCAAGAAATCAAAAGCACAATAGTGACTTCCTCCAGTATGCTCAAATGCTCAAAGCCACCTTAAGTGAGGCTCTAAAGACTGAAGGTACAGCTAGAAGCTAACATTTAAAAACACTTTCTCGTAATATTATTACTCAACTATATGAACTTTCATGAATTGCAATGATACTCATCTTGTTAACAGCCTGAAAGTAAGTTTCAAGGCTATACCTTTCTATGTGGATTTGGAAAACATATGGGAAATTGGTCAGAGTATGATTGGGGCATCTCTATAAAATAGGTATGCCAGGCACAAAGTTTCCAAGGAGCATTGTCAACATGTCAATTACATTAAAACTGAATGCCTCTGAAGCTATAATGATGCAGGACTTCTTTCTTTAGATCCAGTATGGCCTCTGTACTTATGGGGCCAATATTTGCAGTTTTTGAACTCTAGGAATGTTCTTGGTCCTCCAGGTAATTGTATGGTACGCTTCCAAGGAAGTCACTATAAAACCACATTGGAAGGCCTAGCAAATTTCCTATGGTCACACTGGAGGACCTAGAAAATTTCCAATGTGAGTCGAAGGTAATTTTTGGCAGTGTATTTCAAAATCGTTCATTATTATCCGTAGTTCCCGGCTTCCACTGTAAGTTCAGTATACAGGTCATACTGTACTGCAAATCCTTTCAAAGCATGAATAGGCAAGTTATCTCAAGAAAGTGCTTATTTAACACAAGGAAATTGACTTTCTAAACAGAGGGTTAACCTGGTATAGAGAGTGATGTAACTCTGCCAATGTAACTTGGTGTTCAGTGACCATGAGTTATCACTGACAAATCACACTGGGATTGTGAAGAGAAGGTAATGAACCAACCTCCATATATATAATTTACAACAATATATTTGTATTTGAAGCAAATAAGATGCAAAGAATTTTTCCCGCAGACAGTTTTCCTCAAAATAGTACATTTAATCCACATTCTCTATAGTGAAAGACTGTTACAGTTGACAAATATATCAAAATTGAGGTCAAAATGTGTTCCCGCAGAAAACGTTACATATAGATATCAGTATGACATAGAAGCAGAAAATAAAGCAATGGAACAATATTTAATACATTACCTCCACCACAAGAAGCAGAACATGGAAAGAAATCAGTTTCTCTCCATCGGTGAATAATTGGCTGATAGAAAATAAACTGAACTGAACTGTCAGCAGCACCAACGTAATGAATCTGAAAAGGAGAAAAGCTACAGGTAAAGTTGTAAGGTATGTAATGTAACATTATATAGAAACAACATGCTGTAAAGACTCATAAAGAAAAGAAACACCACTTAAAATTTACAAAGTAATTTATAGAATAACTTTATTGTCATTGTACAGCGAAATAAAATGCTTTCCCCAGCACACATCATAAAAACAACACACCAATCCTCCACACTTCAACCACCACCGCACAGCCTCCAATACCATGTTAATTCGAAGTCAATGAGTTCAATATAGTTAAAGCTCTAAGATAAAAGCTATCTCTCAGTCTATTTGTCCTTGTTACCCTGTACCATCTGCCAGATAGTAACAATTCAAAAAAGAATATGCTGGGTGAGATGGATCCCCAAGAATGATCTGAGCTTTCTTAAGGCTGCAGTTCTTCCAAAGAGGAGAGAGGGCAACCAATGATTCTCTGTGCAGTAGTGGTTACCCTTTGGAGCACCTTCCTTTCTGACACTGTGCAGTTACCAAACCATGTGCAGATGCAGTAGGTTAGGACACTATAGCACAGCAGTAGAAAGTCACCAGCAGTTTTTCATTTAGTTGTTGATTCCTTAGATGTCTCAGATAGTACAATCTCTGTTGGCTTGTTTAACCAACGCTGTTGTATGAGTTCCCCAAGTCAGATCCTTCTTAACAGTGACACCCAGGATCTTAAAATGGCCATGTGCTTCACTTGGTCTCCATTTATGTCCAAGGGCTGAATTTCCAGTCTGTTCTTTCTGTAGTCCACTATGAGCTCCTTGGTCTTAATGATGTTAAGAACCAAATTATTGTCCTTGCACCACAAAAGCAGCTGATCCATCTCATCCCAATAAGCAAACTCATCCCCTTTAGAGATAAGACCCACCACTGTATAGAAATAAGTAAGCCCTTCCACCGAAATTCTAATTTACCAAAAACGTATGTACAGAATTGACAGGTGTGAGGAAGCCCACACAAGAAGGAACAGAATACTGAGAAAGGAAAGGAAATGTATTGGAGATGAGGCAGGGATGGAAGCCAAGAGTTATCTAAACTAATGATTTTTTTAAATTTCCCCACCCACAATGACTCCATTAATGCTACATACATTAGACATATTGTGATGAGATCACCATAACTGGCCACACATTTCCCTCAAGTAAACATACCTTTGTCTAAAGAGGGAATCCACATCTCTAATCTTTTGCATTATTTTTGGCCACAGAGCAGTGGTTGATACACCCCAGTAATGCATGTGCATATATGTATTTTCTGTTAAACATGGGTGTGCTAATACTGATATATGCAAGTATCCACCACATCCACCTTCTTAAAACAACAAAAAAATGACCACAAGAACAAACTTAAACATTAAAATTGCCTGGCTCAGTTCAGTTCCTACCTAACTTTTCCCCTGTAACTTCACAGAGATGTGATGGTACCTTAGAGGTGCCAACATTTTTTTAAAATCTGAATTTTCTGGAAACTATAGGAAAAGGTTTTTTTAAAGCCCAAAAGAACTAAACTTGCAAGCATGCTATGTGTCTAGATTGCAGCGGTTACAAAGAGAGTGCCATTTTTAAAATCAGTGTAGGCAACCCCAATGTAGAAAGGAGAGAGACACCACTCTTATCCTTTATACTCATGTAGAAATCTGGAAATTTATATTAAAAAACAACCCTCACAATTTGGGTTGACTTATCCATTTGGTCAGTATAAGTATTGCACCTTAACTTTAATTTTTAAAAGGAAACATCCCCTTCTCTGAGTAGAGTGGCAAAACGTGAAAGCTTAGTCCATCCTAGGAGAACCTGAAAGAAGCACCAATACTCTCTCCATCACGGAACTACTTCTGGTCTTTTCAAATGCCTGGGTGGGGAATAGTAGCAGCAGTGAGCATTGCTGCATTCCTCTCTGTATGGAATGACCCTTAACTATGAATGTGTTATTTTTCCAGTCAAAGTAAACAGTGATGAAAATTCCCCGAAGAAAAGGAAGAGGGAATGAAAAGAAGAAATATAGCTGAGGTAATACAGGTTTGTTCTGTGGGCAATGAAGGAGGCCTCTTCTAAGAATTAATATCATTTTGTTCAGCATGTCATAAACAGGATGTCTAATTCGTTGCAGTGGGGTGGTACATTAATCACATATGGGTTTGAGGTAAGCACAAGTCCAGGGGACTCTTGGGGGCATGCGTGGGATTGGGCTGGAAGCTATTTGTAGACTTCGTTTTGAGCACATGCTAATAACAAAAGTGTTTGAAAGGAATATGGAAAGTTGGAAAGTTAAAGGGAAGCAAGTAAGTATTTTCCCTGAATCTGAAAGGTCTCCTGTGTGGGGTCCTAGGCAGAGCATGATAAATGAGGAAAGAGATTAAGCATGGCCTAGCAGAGGGGTTGGGAAGGTTCCACATCAAAAGTCAGGAAGACATAACAATCCAGCTCCCCAAGGATTCTTGTTGTGTTGTCTGCTTGATTATCTGTCTCTTCTGACACAGAGAAAAGGCAGATGCAGATCTTTCTTCCCGAGAAAGTGGGAAGTTATTCATACAGCTAGGACCACCATCACCCCTGGGTGGGAACATGCTGCAATTAGCCACAGATGGAAAACTAACATTGCGAAGGTAAAGGAGGAGCAAGAAATTGGAAAAAACTATGTTTATTGTTTCAGAAGAGCCAAATGTGCTTTGGGAGAAGAGATTGATTACAAATGTTGTTGGAGTCTTGTTTGCTGAGAGGTTATACCTGGGGTCTGTAGCCTGCAGGCACTATTGGCTGACAAAGGACAAATGTTTCATTTGTAACTCCAAACTTGGGAGGCGTATACTCAAGCCAGGAGACTCCGAAAGAAGAAAAACCTCTTCAGTTGCCACAATCTGACGTTAAGGGAACACTGATGAATCCCAAAAGAGTAACACTTAATTCCTTTGTACATTTGTAAAACAGATGTAGAGTTTCTATTGTCTGTAAGCATTCTTGTTAGTGTTGCAATCATTTTAAATTGGGCTGTATTGATTTTGAATCTTAACGTAGTATAATTAAAAACTGTCATTTTGTTATAGCATCCTACCTTGAATATGTTTTATTTCATGTGAATTAAGAACTTAAGAGAAATAGATATAATTGGGCAATTGATGAGACTATGTCTAAACAGCATGGTTTATGGCTTCAGCTTTTAAAGGGGGATGGAAGATACTGACAAGGACCATTTCTGAATCATTTTACCTATATCACAATCAGTGATTTTCTTTTAGCAATAGTTCAACAATGAGGTGAATCCCATATGGATTATTTTAATGCACTCTACATGGGGCTGCCTTTGAAAAATGGACAGAAACTTGAACTGGCAGAAAAAATGCAATGTCAGATTGTTAACTGGCACTAGCTACAGGGAGAACACAATTACAATTCCCTTGTTGCAACAACTCCACTGATGCTAGTCCATTTCTGAGCACAATTCAAAGTGCTAGCTGTGAACAATAAAATCCTTGATCATGATGCAGATGTAATTAAACTCAATGAAATCAGGCATCATTGCAATGTGCAGCTGGCTATATTTTATGCATTAGGAAATAGTTACTATTGACCATATGATGTTGAATCAGGATTATTTTCTAAAACTAGCAAATGAGGAAAATACTTTTCAGTCTTAAAACCTTTATATTAATTGTAACCATTTACTTAACTGCTTTACCTGTGATCAAGGAGAACACATACAGCTTGAGATATAATTATGCTTGTTGAAAGTTTCGTCAGCTCTTTTGCATCATAAGTCTAGGGTTCATTACTGCTTTTACCACCAGATTTTGTCATAACTTTCACCACTGTACAAATTTTGCCAGTTGTGGTTTTCTCCACACTACCATCACACTTCAGAGATGGTGTCAACATATCTTTGGCCAATGTGTGAGTGGACTGTCTTGATTAATTTATTTTTATTTATTTATTTACTATTCTTGTATACCGCTGTATCTCAAGCCCGAGGGCGACTCACAGCGGTTTCCAAACAGCAAAGACAATAAAAACAGCAATAATCAATATACAAAACAGTTAAATTACACAGTTCCATTAATAGCTAATAAACAATCATCAATACACAGTTATCACAAATCCCATCCCCCGATCGCCTCATCATCCAAACGTGATCCAAATTCGTCGTCCATTGTTCCGTTCCTATGTTCAAATTACCACAATTGCACTGAATTACTCAAACGCCTGCACAAACATCCAGGTCTTCAACTTTCTACGGAATGTCATGAGAGATGGTGCCAGCCTAACGTCTACAGGAAGGGCGTTCCACAGCCGAGGAGCTACCACCGAGAAGGCCCTATCTCTCGTCCCTGCCAACCGTGCTTGAGAGGCTGGCGGGATCGAGAACAGGGCCTCCCCGGACGATCTCAAAGTCCGCATGGGTTCATAGGCCGAGATGCGGTCAGATAGGTATCTTGGGCCGGAACTGTTTAGGGCTTTATAGGCCAATACCAACACCTTGAATTGGGCCCGGTAGCAAATCGGCAGCCAGTGGAGCTGGTGCAACAGGGGGGTTGTGTGCTCCCTGCGCTCTGCTCCTGTTAGGATCATGGCTGCCGCGCGTTGGACTAGTTGCAGTTTCCGGGCCGTCTTCAAGGGCAGCCCCACGTAGAGAGCGTTGCAGTAGTCTAGGCGGGATGTGACAAGAGCGTGGACTACCGTGGCCAAGTCAGACTTCCCAAGGTACGGGCGCAGCTGGCGCACGAGCCTGAGCTGTGCAAATGCTCCCCTGGTCACCGCTGAGACCTGGGGCTCCAGGCTCAGCGACGAATCCAGGGTCACACCCAAGCTGCGAACCTGTGTCTTCAGAGGGAGTGCGACCCCATCCAACACAGGCTGTAACCCTATACCCTGTTCAGCCTTGCGACTGACCAGGAGTACCTCTGTCTTGTCTGGATTCAACTTCAATTTGTTCGCCCTCATCCAGACCGTCACAGCAGCCAGGCACCAGTTCAGGACCTCGACAGCCTCC